TAAGCAGCAATGTAGACATAAGAACAAATGGGTATAAAATTGGTCATCCACAAGTTTAGGGTTGAAATTAGAACGTTTCTAACCACGAGAGGAATAAAGTTCTGGAACAGCCTTCCAAGAAGAGCAGAGGGGACAAGAAACCTATCTTGTTTCTAGACCAAATTTGATAAGTTTATGGAGGGGATGGGATGACAAAACTGTCTACAATGGTGTGTAACTGATTTGCAACTGCTAGGAGCAAATATCTCCAATGATGAGACACAAGATGAGGAGGTCTCTGAATTATTACAGAGAATTCTTTCCCAGGTGTCTGCCTGATGTGTCTTGCCCATATGCGCAGGGTCTCACTAATCACCATATTTGGGGCTGAGAAAGAATTTTCTCCAGAGGTCACATTGGCAGAGACCCTGAGGTTTTTCCATCTTCCTCTGCAGCAGTGGACACAGTTCACTTGCGGGTTTCAGCTAATGTAAATCATAGATTCCTGTAAGCCTCTGAAGCATGATTTGAGTATTTCAGTATCTGAATAAGAGGTTAATGGTTTATTTAAGGGTGGATGGGTGAGATTCTGTGGTCTGTAAGGGGCAGGAGGTCAGACTAGATGATCATGATGGTCCCTTCCAGTCTTAAAGTCTAGGAGTCTATGAGCATACTAATCTACCATGGCACTGATCCAAGGACAATGAAATAACTCTAAAATAAACAAAAGGACAAAACGGATTCTTGATATACAGAAATCACGTTATGTCCTACAATGCCTTGGACTTCTGTAGTGCTTTCATTCAAAGGTCTTGAAGCACTTGAGAAAGTAGTAAATTAAGCCTTAAAACATGTATGGTATATAAGTAATTATATCCCCAGTTTAAAACATATTAATTATATATTTACTTGCTCAATGACATCCACATTTTAACACCTCCCCATATACATATTTACGCCAGGTAGCTAAAATTCTGGAATGTGTACACTGATTATGTTTACAAAACATTTTAAAAATTGGAAAAATTGACAATTTTTAATGATTTTCCTTGGCTTACTGACCAACTCTAGATCTGAATTTTTTTTTTAATTTCAAACCAGAAAATTTTGAAAAAAATAAAAAAGAATTTCTCCCTATTTCTCCCTTCTTTTAAATCAGTTAAGCTATTTACCCACAGTTTATCTGTGCTGCTATAGGAAGTAATAATTACTTTTTAAAATAAATTTGAAAATATTAGGTAAGAAAAGTCAACTACAAAATAGATTATCTTAATGCTGATTACTATACCCCAGTCTTCAGCCTAATACACATTGGACACTGGCAGGCCAGGTGCCCAGGGTTAGGCCTCAGCCGAGCACTGAGAAATTCATTGCTGGAAAACAGTCTGTTTCAAGTTTGTGTAAATATGGTTATAGTAATATTAGACTTATAACAACGTTTTTAGTGTTTAGATTTATTTAAATGTTTGTAAGTTGTTGCATACATTCATCTGACTAATAATATCAATATCACACGCTACAAAATAAAGCAAAAACTTATTGTAAAAAACCCCGTTTGTTCTGAAACTAACCCAGACAGCAGGGTTCATCTCCTGCCCATGAAGACAGGCTATCAAAACTAAACAGGCTGTTGTGAGACATCACAATACACAAAGACTTTGTTTATGCACCAGGAAGAGACCATGCTCAAAAAGGCTTATCGCACCAGCTTGAAGGCTGGAACAAGGAAATAGAAAGATTACTAGAGCTTTTGGATGCTCACAGGGCTAAAGCAATGGAATAGAAGGTCTGCCTGTGTTCACCCTAAGAAACTTTCAGAACTGACAGATTACTACATATCTGTCACCTTTTAAAACCACAGACGGTATCATTTGTGTAAACTCGTCCGCTTTAACCTTGTAATAACGTATTACTTAGTTAATAAATCCTTAGCATATTATAGGATTGGCTATGATGTCTTTGGTGAGAGATCTAGGGTACAAATTGACTTTGGGTAAGTAACTGGTCTCTTGGGATGGAGCAACCTGAATATTTTCAGATCTTTGGTATACAGTAATCAGCTATCCTTAATTCCACCTTTCGCGAGTGCCAAGATAATCTGGAATGCCAACAGTGCTTTAAGTGTTCACATTTGTCTCTGTATTGGTGAAATCTAAGTATAGAACTAGTTTGGGGTCTTCATCCTGCTTCTTGACAGTCTGTCCTGCAGGTTGAGAGTCATTACTGTGAGCTCCTCTGGACAGTGTGACAGTATGTGGAGAGCTGTCCCACTCAGTAGGACATAACTTTGATATGGTATTTTCTTCCAAAAAGGATCCTAAATAACTATATTTTTTTCCAGTGGAAAAATGGAAGAAGAAAGGGAAAAAATGAAAGAACGAGGGGAAGTTCTAATTTTTCTATTTAAAAATATTTCTGTACTAGCAGGTGCGGCTTGTCATTGACTGGGCAAAGTTGTTTTGCGTAGATTACACTTACAGGAAAGTTCAAGAAATGAAATAACTGTAATAGAATTTTTTATTCATGTGCCTGCATAAGGGAAGTAAAAAACAGTTTTAAATTTATAGGATTTCAACTTCAAACGTTTTTCATTTTATTGAATAATTACCATACATAGTAAATTTGAATCAGAAACTCATAAAACTTCCATTACTCTTTCTGTAACTAATTTGAATTATGTTGTGATTTTTAACAGTAAAAATTTTCTTTGCACTAAAATGATAGTTGAATAAGTGACTTGATTTTAATTTTGTTAACAAATATTTTTATGGACTCTAATCATAATAGTCATGACTTTTTTCCAAAGAAAACCAAAAATAATTATTTAAATCTTTCACCCAGCATATTCTGGTGCAAAACGTAGTGCATTCAGCTAATTTAAGTGGCAGGATTGTTTATGCAAAATTTGGTATCTTTAGGCAATCGCAAAGTATGAATTTATTTTGCACAAACAAATCCACAAACTCTTCAAAATATAACAGATTTCCCATGCAAAAAGAGTAAAACAAAGAGCAAGCACCCACCAAATAAACATTTTCAAAAACAAATTTTTCTAAATAAAATATTTCTGTTCAAACTTTTTCACTGAAAACCAAAAATAATTATGAAAAATTTCAAACCAAAAAAAAACAAACAAAAAAAACACCCCTTTCACAATTTGTTCAAAATCCATCATATAAAATATTTTTTTCAAGACAGCTCTAGGCTCTTCTGCCCAACAGTGCACAGAGTGCTGACTAAAGAACTCAGAGGCTAGATATTTCAATTCATGCAGTGCCTTCCATTCAAAATCTTGAAGCACTTTAAAAAAGAAATAGGCAAGAAATATTTTCCTATGCTGTCAACGTTTGAGTTTTTTGAACATTTTCCTATTTCTTACTGGAATGAAACAAGAAGTTTTGAATTTATTTAAAAAAAACAGAGACATCTCAGTATAGCCAATAGAATCAGAATTAGGACATGCCCATGGGATGTGGGAGCATGACAAAGCAGGAACTCAAACTTAGCTCTCTGCCATTCCCCTTGAGTGCTCCAACCTATTGTTTTTTCTGGTGTGAGCCATCCTCTCTCATTTTGACTAGAAATTCCAGCCTGGACCTGATACTTCTCCTCCTCAACACATCAACATTTTCTAATGAAAAACAATTTCATGAAAAAATTACTGACCAGCTCTAATTTATTGTTAGCAAACTAAGCTTTAATGCCTAAGAGGTTTACAGGGAGAACACCAGAATTTTCAAAGGAGCCTATGGGTGAAATCTTGGCTCATTTAAAGTCAAGGGAAGCTTTGCTATTGATTTGAATCTTAAGCTAATTTAACTCCCTTCACCTCTCATGAAAATCCCAGCCTAAGAGAGGTACAGGTTTGTAAGATCATATCTCTTATTGGATCAAATTCTGTCCCTGAAAGAGACAAAGGCAAGTTTTCAAGCTATCACAATGTAGTTTGTGGCCAAATAAAGCATAAAACTCAGATCACCTAACTTCCTCCTCCTGTTCTTCAACCACGACCCTATACATGTGCTCAGTATCTTTTGTTCTCCAAGCTGTCAAGAACCAGACATATGGCAAACTCATACCCTTCAAAGATGATGTATTTCGGTTCAGGCAGAGGGTTTTAAAATCCAAGCAGAACCTGTCATTCTGCCCTTCAATCACAGAGCTGTGCTCTTGTTTTGCGCAAATTGGCAAGAGTCAAGTTGAGAGTGCTGAGATTTCTCATATTCCTTAAACAAAGTTCCCCTGCCAACTTATTGTCTTCCTTGCTGGAGCGTTTGCTTTGTGGTTTTCCTTTTTATTTTCCCTCTGACCTCCACTCAAAGACCGACAACCAATCAGCACAATTTTTCCTTACTTCCTTGCAAGAGATGAGCTCCGCACAGCATGGACTCAATTGCAAATCCATAATGCTGATTTCTGTCACTACCCCCTAATTTTGAATTAACTTCCAATTCATTTTTAGCCAAGCCTCAGTCATTTCAACTTCCAGGAGAAGTTTCTACCTGAAAATGGACTTTGGGTGCAACAGATTATGTGATATGCTACTGGGTGAATTTAAGTGCATCTTTAAGTCCTTTGCAGTGGGGGGGGGGTCCTACTTTTTTTTTTAAGCCTGCAAATCAGAAGATCTACATCCTATTTTTGATTCTAACCTAAGTGACTTTCAGTAAATTCCATAATCACTCAGGCTACGTCTATACTGCAGCCTTCTTCTGCAAAAGCTTATGAACATGAAGCGCGGAGCAGAATATTGCCGTGCTTCATTTGCATAATTAATTAGCAGCCATTTTTGCACAAGAGGGGTTTTTGTGCAAAAAGGAACCGTCTTCTACACAGCTCCTTTTTGCGCAAAAGTCTCTTGCACAAAAACGACTACTAATTAATTATGCAAATTAAGCACGGTAATACACTGCTCCATGCTTCATTTGCATAAGCTTTTGTGGAAGAAGGCTACAGTACAGATGTAGCCTCAGTTTCCTTATCAATAAAATGATAATATATAACACACAGGCCTGCTCCAAGGTTTAATTTATTAGTTACTGAAGGAATGTGACATAATTAGATAGAAGGTGCTATATATCACACACATAAAGGATTATTACTTGCTGTTTTTGCGTGGTTATTATACCTGACAGTTACTCGGTGATCAAGACCTACCTAGGTAGGTATGAACACTCCCATCTCTCTGGTATATTACTCTGAGATAGCTCAGCTGCCTCAGCAGCAGCACGACAGAAAGCCTAGTTAACTAAACCTCTACCTGGTTTGGTGGATACAAATCCTTGTAAATGGAATTTAGATAATTTGGTTTTGGGAAAAAATAGAAAAACGTATCCCCAAATTAAATGACCATTCTCTTAACTCTTGACTGAGTTTTAGTCCAAACATGACAGTGGCCAGTTGATCAAAATAAGGCTTAATACACTAGGGCCGTGTCCAGACTCAGGGGTTTTTTCGGGAAAAGTAGTCTTTTCCCGAAAAAACTTCCCCTGCGTCCAGACTCAAGCCGCGTTCTTTTGAAATTATTTCGAAAGAACGCGGCTTTTCTTTCGATGGCGGTAAACCTCGTTTCACGAGGAAGAACGCCTTCTTTCGAAAGTTCCTCTTTCGAAAGAAGGCGTTCTTCAATGTAAAGAGGCCGTCTTCGAAAGAGAGCATCCAGACTCGCTGAGTGCTCTCTTTCGAAAAAGCGGATTTCCTCTATCGAAAGATCCGCCTGCAGTCTAGACGCGATCTTTCGAAAGAGGCTCTTTCGAAAGATGCTTTCGAAAGAGCCTCTTTCGAAAGAAGCCTGCAGTCTAGACATAGCCTAGGAGAGGAAAGTGTTTGGAAAGAGTCAATAGCAAGTCTGTCACATTGTAGTGCAGTTAATTTGAGCAGCTTGTGAAGAAAAAAAAAATCATGACTTCCTCATTTTAATTCAAAAGATGGGAGATGAAGTCAGGATTCTAGGATTCTCTTGCCTGCTCAGAACAGAATGAATTGATACACTGAGTGACCCTGGTTAAGTCACATGATCTCTCTCAATTTTCCCATCAGTACAGTATAATCATATTTACTGTGCTTCTTTCACAGTGCTTACTTGACTATTGATGCAAAGAGCTTTGTGATCCTCAGATGATAGGTCACTCAGTGTAAGTATGAAGTACTATAGCATAATTACACTATATTAAATATATACATGAAAAACTAAAACTAAGAACTGGAAAGAAAACGTATTTACCCAGCGTGTTAGGAATGGATTTGTATTATTGTTAGCACATTATCTGCTTATATAACATTATAGTAAAATAGAGTTGTCTCAAGGAGAGTGGGGATGTTAATGACCTGGAATTTTTCCTCATTTCTGCAATTCTCTGCACTTTGGTTCTGGTTGCATAATCACTGTTGGGTCCGTTTTGCAATAACTGAACACAGTATGCACATCCATGTTATTCTGGCTGGCAGCCAGCAATTTGCTGACCAGCATCCAGAGATTTGCATAATCACAATATGGTTATTTCTCAGTTACCATACTGCTAATATGCAAATTCATCTGCTCTGAGTGAGTTCCGTGCTCTTTTTCAAGACACTGCCTCAGCTTCTCCCCACCCACTTAGGCTGAAGCAGAAAACATTCAAAGTTAAAAGAAAAAATAAATGGAAATAAAAGTCAAAATAGTACTATGACGGAGTGGGGGTTGTTTGTTTGGGAAAGGATAGTTTGGCCTTGGAGCACCAGCCTGATCCTCCAAAAGTTCAAGTTCCTCTTCCACCACAAATGTCCTATGTAAGCTAGGGCAAGTCACTTGGTGCTAGATACAGGCCTTAAATTTCTCTCTACCTCAATTCCTCCTCTGTACAGCAGCACTCATAATGCTTCCCTCTTGCAAGGATAAATACACTCGTAATCGTGAGGCACTCAGACACTATGGTATGGGGACCGCATAGTTAACTGAGTGGATGTTTTGTGGGGGATAGCAAATTTTTCTTTTAAGTATAAACTACACTTTTGATTTATTCCCCCGCCCCCTCCCCCCACGCAGACATCCTTCCTTTCATATTTCTCTTTGCTGCCCCCATTCTCTTGTGCAACTATGCCCCTGCAAATCTGCAGGCTTCTTTTTTTTTAACCTGTTATGTATTTCTGTTTACATGTGGAGAAGCCCAGTTCATCTCTTCCAATTCAATTTTGAAACATTGGGGCTGTTTCAAAGCCACTAAGTCAATAGGCTTACATAGTGCAGTTATTATAAAGAGAGGAGACATAGTTATCTCTGGCAGAGAAGGAGGAGGAGGAAAGAGGGGGAGGAAGAGGAAATTGAGAGGTGGCCCTTCTCCTCCCCTGCAGAAATGAAAGAGGTTTTATCTTTTCTATTTTTTGAAAAATGAAGCTTTCAGCAGCTCTATAACCCATTTTGAGGACCCTTCCTTTCTTTTCTCCTTAAGAGTATGATGAACATATAACAAACAAAAGCAAGCCCAATCATTTTAACTTTCTATCAAATCAGTAGCCATTGTAGCACTGATAAAATTGAGGCCCTGAAACTTACTTGTATATTTTTTCCACTATAGCAATAATTCACTCCAGGCAGCATTTGGCTTTTTGATTCATCCTCTAAGATTGTTCCAGAAGACTGATATAGTCTACCCAACTTGTTACTGATGAATTGTAAAAGAGGGAATTGAATTATCAAGTGTTCTGGCTTCCTGGCAATAGACTTGATTAAGTTGTAATACTACACCGAGGTTAGTTTTGTAATGTAATTTTAAGTTGCCTCAAGGTGCCTAGCGCATAGAGACAGATAGATTTGTTCAAATAATAAAAAAGTAACTAAATAATAAAATATACCCAGCTTTAAAGCTGCTTTCTTCTTCTTCTTCTTCTTGATATCACTATGCATTCTTGGATCAATCATGGATCTTTATATGCCACGAGAAGATAAATATTCCATGTCCTCATAAAAGAGAATTGCTGATCCAGAAAAATCACTAAATATGAGCAGTGACTCTTCAGACCTAGAGTCCTGAAGGGGAATGCAGAACGGATTAAAAGCACCAGACAGACATGGTTTCAGCACAAGACTATTTGCTGCCCCAATGCCTCTGGAACAATGTAAAAAGGAATACAAGAACCCAAACAGTTGGCGATTAGGAACTTTATATTGGCTACAGTAAAATGTTTTAAATGAGGGAGAAAGATACGTGCGCCAGATATTAATGGGAAGCCTATTTGTGTTCAATTCATTGGAGAAACACTTCAAGGGCATATAATCTTTGTGAAAATAATGTGTCCAATATTCCATGAACCAGATGACAGTCCCATTATGTACAAGTACCACGTGTGATGAATACTGATTTCCGGGATTTATTATTCTCTCAAAATGCAGGACCTATCAATGTAACTTTTCTTTACCTCAGCTGAAAAGGTAGACAGACCCCTCTCCATGTTTCGCAGAAGAGGCACTATTATAAGACTTATAACCTCCAATAAATCTGAATGTGCATTTGGAAGACAAGTCAGCCATGATTAGGGCTCTTGTGGTGAAACAAAACAGCTTTGTTGACGAGTGTACCAGAAACTTGTGACAATTAACAACAAGCATGAGGTCAAAAATCACTTCGTATCCATTGCTACCAAGCCATATGGAAGCAAAACTGAGTGTATGAAGACAAAATATAAAAATATTGTACATTTAATCAATAATTCATATGCAAATTTGACACCAGCAAAATAGGTCTGAATAGAGAGACTGGGAATGGCTCTCAAATTACAGTATGTAATTTCCCTTTCAGGTACTCTCACCTTCTCATCACTGTTGGAAGTGAGCCACATCCACCCTGTTTTAAGTAGCACTGATATTATACTCCCATCTATGTATCCCTGCCTTTCTTTTGTTTCAAGCATCTGAGGAAGTGAGCTGTATCTCATGAAAGCTTATGCCCTAGTTTTTTAAGGTGTCACTGGACTCCTTATAATCACAGCAATACCAAATTAGTAGTAAGTAAAGACAATCCCTACGTGACTTACTCAGAGGTCATATAGGAGGTCTGTAGAGGAGCAGGGAATTGAATCCAAGTCCCCCAAGCCCTAGGCAATGTTTCCTCTATTTTTTCCATGCACGTGCAGAATAAAATGTGTTATGTGCATCGAGGCAAGTGTGGATGTGCACCCAGTAAACACACACACTGCCACCTGTGGATATTCTGCTAAATCAGCAGGGAAGCATTTGAATCTCTCCTGGGTGATCATCCAAGCACTCAACTTACAGAGAACACTGGTCCTACGCTTGGGCCTCAACAACTGAACCATCCACAACCATATTACAGTAGCTAATTGTTGTTACAGCTCTGAGAAAAAACAAAAACTTTGCAAATTATCTAGAACTATGAGGACTCCGTCTTGGTTGAAGCCTCTATGCACAATCACAATATAAATTATTATTATTAATATAAAGCATTCTTCATCAGCTGATGAAAAACAGAGCAGCTGCACTCCACGCCAAATAAAGGTGGACTCAGAACAGTAAACATCAGGCTACTATTTCAGCCTGTCCTTAGAGGGCTAAGTTCCCATCATCTACTGAAGGTTTGGCAGCAGTACCCAATCTAGCCCAATGTTGCCTTAAATCAACTACACTGAGTTCTCAACACCAACTCCATTTGGTACATTTACAGGCAGGCTATGCACAAATAGGATTCATGCCAAATGTACTAGAATTTTTACCTAAAATTAGAATTGAGCTTTTCTGAAAATGTATATAAAAAAAATCAAAACCCCACACCACCTTTTTTTCTTCAATGAGCTAATGAACTTCCTGATTTCTGCTAGAACAGTGGTGGGGAACCTAAGGCCCAGAGACCAGGTGCGGCCCCTCAGTTGCCTGGATCTGGTCCCCAAGGCTTCGGGCCTCCCCCAACATTGGGGATCCCATGTTGGCACTTCAGTTCTCCCCCCACCTCCCCACAACCTCCAAGCCCCCAACTGACTTTTTTGTGGGTCAGTGGCCCCCAACCCAAAAAAAGGTTCCCTATTCCTGGCTAAAGGCACTGATAGGTCATGAGTGTGACACGTCTTGGAGTATTCTGAACCCACCTAGACAAGAGAAATTCCAAAAAGTTTTACGCAAGAGCCTTGAGGACCATGCTACTAGAACCAAGGGTGTTCAAATAAGTTGGTAATAAAGTCTTTCAAAGTTTTCCTATCACTATTAATGGTATTATAACAGGAGTCCCAGGATAGCATTGATATAATTTTATAAATTCACCTTGTACCAAGTGTAAGCGGGGGAATGGTCCCGCTATTGTGGGGAACTTTCCTGGCTTCTATACACCCTGGTGAAATGAACCAGCGAAAGGATCTGAGTCCCTGCTCCCACTTCCTTTACCCCACGGCTCCCTGATCCTGAGGGCTCCCCCTCCACTCTCCTGAGTAGCAGAGCCCTTGAAACCCCAACAATGCTGGGCCCAGGTTTCCTGGGGCTTAATCCCTGACCTTGTAGTCACTAGGGGCAGGAGTTAGGGTGTCCCCACTCCGAGGTGCTCTCTTTACACTGCAGGCCTTCTTGGCCCAGTGATCACTTCATAAGGTTCAAAGCAAATACAATTTATTAAACAACAACTGATTAAAGAGAATAGAATAAGAAACAATGAGAACGGTTAAATGAGAACACACAGCCCTGCTCTGTAGCACAGGGACATCAACACAGCAGTCTGCAGAGTGTAAGGACAGTTCACAGTCTCTTCCTTAGGAGCCCTGGATGTGCTGCAAGGGGCTGCAGGCTGGACACGCTTGCACTGGCAGTGACCACACAGCCTCAGTCTCTAAGTGGCCAGACCCCTCTCCCAGTCCAGAGCCTTTCCCCACACTTTGCAGGTCCCAGTAGCTCACCACATCCAGCTGCAGGCTGTGCTGCTTGGCCAGTTCCAGCTCCTTGTGTTGCTTCTCTGTTCCTTTTGGCTCTGAGCACTGCCAGTCTGCTGCTCAACACAGGCTCTGCACTCCCTGTGCTGTGTACGCCTGGCTCTGCTGCTGCAAAACTGCCCCTCAGCACAGCTCGCACTCCTCTTAGCAGTGTCTCAGCTCTCTGTTCCTTTTGCAGGACTTCTTCATACAGCTTGCACTGCTCTTTCAGCTCCCTGTTTGCCCAGAGAGA